CCTTGGAGGTTTTTAAGATCTGACTGGATGAAGCCTGGAACACCCTTACTGAACTAAATTTTCACTTTGTTTTGAGCAGAAACTTGGACTAGATGACCTCCCATGGTCTCCCCTTGTGAGGAATGTAATTGGGTTGATTCTGCCTGGAGAGCGATTTGGGAATCCTATTGGATAACTACTTCAACATGTGCTGTAAAGTAAGGCTAGAGGGAAAAGCAATGGCTGGAGGTTATTTGGTCACTGCTGTTAAGCAGCCCCCCACAAAACCTACTACCTTTGCAGAGCAGAATTCCTAAAATAGAAGCAGCAGGAAGTGAACATCACTCCCTCGGGTACAGCCTGTGAAGTCTTGCACTGCTGCCCAGCGGAGCTCTCCTACATCTCCCGAGCTGCTACTTTTGCTGTGCAAGTGGAAAGAAGGACAGCCAGCAGCTAGATCTGTTCCTGGGCATGCTATGAAGCATTTCAGAGAGAGGTTTGTATCACCAAAAACTATAGCAGAGCACTACTGGGGGGAGAGGGAATACTTAAAAGCTTTCAGGCAAAGCTAGCAAGATTCAAAAACTGGAGGCTTTAAGTTAGACAATATGAAATTCTAAAAAAAAATAAAGTTAAAACATGCCACAGCTTCTCTGGAGTGAAGTTGAATTCTCCCTTGTTGCCAGTCAAAAGTACTGTCCATACTTTACTGCAGAGCAGGTGGTCAGTGTAGATGTCTGTTGGATCATGACCCAAGTGACCAGGATTTGCAGGCAGGCTCTCACTGTTCTCTACTTTAAGCACTTTTCCCTTCCTGCCTGACTTGGAGCTGTTCTGGAGTATTTATGAATGGCAGAAACCTTTTAGACAAGTCCACACTGATACAGAAAAGCCTTTTTGCAGCACCTGAAGGAATAGTATACATTGTTGACCACACACAAATGTAGTCAGAGGTTACATGAACAGCATCAGCACAGGTGTGCTGGAGCAGTGGGACCCTGACCTATATTGCTGACTAGGAAGGCAAGAAGCCTATAGATAAACTCATTTGACCACACATAACAACCCTCTGGGTGTGTTTTGCTGCATTTGCTTGTTAGCTGAGATCCATTAAAATGAATTATCCAGATTTGCATGTTGTAAAATGCCATTAGGATAAAGCTCACAGCCTCAGAAAAATTAAAATACCTTGTTTTTAAATAGAAATCACAGTTGTATTTTTATCTATTATGTGAAGTCCCCAACTCTGATGTCATTTGAGGAGGGTTTTTTTTAAGGTATGTCTTAAGTGATGCAACTATTGACTCATTGCTGGTTTGGGTTTTGACACCAGAGGACTGTGTTGGCCAGACCAGCAACCTCCTAGATTATGACTCCTTCGTTTCTTTAATAACAACTGATCTGAAAAAAAATGGAACTGTAATCTAATTTTTTAATTTAATAATTTCTTACATTCTAATTTTATACTGAGGACTAACTTTCTATTCCTAGGTGAAATAGTTTTGTGGGTATTTTTTTCCCATATGGAAACAATGTGCTTCTCTTTAGCAGTTTCATACACAAAAGTACACATTGATAAGAAGTCTCTAAACAGATGACATTGCAATTACCTGACCACTCTAGAAAAAGTAGGTAGAAATATATATCACTGTGTTGAAAAAGCTGGAACATGAGCAGTATAATTTTTATATTATAGTTGACTAATTCCCAAACTGCTTTATGTCAAAAGTATTAAAGATGAATAAAAGTGTTTCCTGCCTTTTATGGAAAACCAACATCTAAAAAGAAAGAGGAGGAAACAAATGCAGTTCTTGCTATATACAATTCTATACTGCTCTGTTGTATGTGGATATATGTAAAGCATGCTGGATGCTCACACACACTGCAAAATAAACAAGCCATTACACACCAACACATCACTAATCCAAGAGGAGTAAGCTATAGGTCACTATTTCTTCTGTGTACCGAGGTTATGAATTTATCTTTGGCTGCAAACATGTGGAACATAATCTGCTGGATCAATAACCTCTTAGGTGCATAACCCCTCCCCAGCAACTGATTTTTTCATACCTTTACTTATTCAGCAGTAGGAAAAGGACAAGAGACAGCCAGGCACAATGGCATCCAAAGGGCAGCATCTTCAGATGCATGGACAGAGCCAAGGGCAGAGTGCTGGAAAATGTAAGATAGACGAGTACAGCAGTGACGGCATTGAAAACAGGATGGTCGTACACTTGACAGGAGGTGGCAATATCATCTGTATCACACATGATGCTTTCACTCTACCATTAATCTCTTAAAAAAATGAATTACAAACATTCTTTACACTAGTCAAGGAGTTTCTGTTTTGATAGCAAGGAGCAGGGTGTACCACAGTTTTCCCTCTGTCATGCTGAGCCTACCATCCTTTTGTGTTTTCTCTGTGGAGGATTTTTGTGACAATATACAGTTGTCTTACACCTTGCTGATCATTGCTCTGCCCTTATCCTTCAGTGGAGTGGCAAAAGTTTTTCAGATTCCTGTCACACATCGCCCACTGACCATCTGCTATTACCACTGTAACGAGAAATCACTTGGTGAAAGGTGATTAAGTGGTTACAATCCAGGACAAGGTTAGAAGCTCATTATGCTACTTCCCCTCCAATATTAAGCAATAGTGATAAGCCAAGAGTCTTAGCTGATATGAATCAGTGCATTTCTGCTATTTCAATAGTGTTGCCTTGGTTTACATGACATTTAGCTTAAAAGCATTTACCATCAGGTTAATTTAGATCCCAGCCTTTGGTTCAAGTGGGTTTCTGTGTGCCACCATTTTAAAAGAGAAACTTGGGATAATCAAGGAATATTCTTTTCTATTCTGTATTATTGTTTTAGTCATCATGGACAGAATGCTTTAAAGATAAATAAGCTGTGGGGTCTTGGTAGCACTCATGATGCAAGAATTTGGTTTCTGTTTCCCCTCAGAGCACTGAGGTTTCCTGTAAAGCTACTCTCACTCTGGATTTATGTACCATTTGCAGAGGAAGCCCTATCTGCTTAAAGCTTCCAGTTAAGCCTTTGCTGAGTCAGTTTTATAGTCAGTTTTATATATCAGGTTGTTAAAAAAAAAAAAAGGAAAGCAAAAAGAGGGAAAAGTGAGCTTCAAATAAGTCCAGAGGAAGTTCATAGCTCCTTAAACAGTTTTTGTTCTTAAAGTAAACATTTCTCTTTCCACATCGGGTCTCTGCTGTGATCTGCTTCTGCTAAACCAGAAGCACTCTGTGCAGCCACCTTTTAGGGTTGTGGATTTCAAGACAATCTCCCAAATAAGATTCACAGAACAGAACAGAGTGGGGTAAGCTGTTGCAGCACCTTTGTAAACTAGAAAAAGTCACACGGAGCTGAAAAATTGGTGTGAAAAAAAAGTCCGGCAGTGTGATTCAGGACATACCACTTGAGGGGAATGATACTGTTGCTGTACTTAGGTTTGGAAAAAAATGTCCTGAAAGGTTCTCTTGCTAGCACATACTCTATTTTAGTTCTGGGACTCATCCTCTAATGTCATATATATTCTGAGTGGTAAAGGAACCACCTGATGTCCAGCTTCATTTCAGGGAAAGGGAGGGCATAGGTATGATGGGCACTAGAAGAGAAGTTTGGACGTACTCAGATTACTGGGGGATAGTTCAAAGGAGAGACACCTTGAAAGGTCAGTGTCAGGAATGCAGCATGCTAATGATGCTAATGATACAAACAACATGTGGGATAGTTATGTCTTGATTTGGTAAAGAACTTATGTACAAGTCGTACTTGGAGCACCTGAGCAGCTGTATTCATTTCAGCCAGGTGACCCACATGCCTGCAGCCAACCTTACACCTCATCAGACAGGAGCTCCAAGCATTACACAATTACAGAACTGACTCTTCTTGGCATTTATCCACACTCTTTGAATGCAAAGATTAGTGCATCTTCCTCTTACAAAACTGCCTTCTGCTGGTGGTCATTCTTCAAGCTACTCTGATTCATGGCAAAAGAAAAGCTTTCCCAAAGGATTCAACAGCTCTTTTCCCCCAAAACACACACATCATCTGTGTGTATTTGTCTGTATCCCATATTATTGTCAAAAATGAACAAATCACTTCTGTGCCCCTATTCTCTCATATCTAAAAGGAAAACATTGCCAGTATTAAGTTTTCTTTTGTTTTCCTTTTTTTTTTTTGCATAATAGGACATAATTCATTATTTGGCTTATGACCATTGATGGACAAAGTTCCAGAAAAATGCAAATCTTGCTGTTTTGAGATCTTACACTGATTGTAACTTATCACATCATAGGCCCTTTTAGCACCAGAGACATCATTCTGGTTTAGTAATCCCTCAGAGAATTCCTTTCAACAAATATAGAAGACTGTCATCATGATGAGAAAAAGCCTTTCCCCTAAAACTGTTTATCATCCAAGAATAAATAGCAATGAAAAAAATGGGTTGCCGAGACTTTAGAGGTAATAATCAATTTATCAGGAAGATATTGCTACAAGCATTGTACATAAGCCACTTACCCTTTCCAGTGTCTTACAGTGATCTGAATGTCAATTAAGAAAAAAAAAGAAGATGAAGTTATAATGCTGTATCAACAGGCAGCTGTCCTAGTGGGCGCTGGGAACACAGAATGACTCGCATTGCTGAGCAGTGCAGTCATTGCCAAAGAATGATGAGCTCACATTTCATTCCGATTCACATACCCGGTGTGGTCAGTCTGAGGCTCACCCCTCCTCGCCCAACTGACGCCCCCTCCCTCCCTGCCTCGACACCAGATCTGGCTCGTTAACATGTCTGGAATGAGCCTGAGCCTACCTCTCAGCTGGCAAGCACAAGGGGCATACTTGGATTCCCAGGTTGGAAGATTATCTCATTCAAGCACAGTTCTCCCAAAGATATATAAGCAAAGTGAGTGTGGTGGTCCCTGCAGAGCTGGTCTGAGCCCTTGGGAGTTTCAGCCATACAGGCTGTACAGGAGTACAACCTCCAAACACCAGCAAATATGACGATGATGATGAAAGTAGAAGAGCTGGTAGGTACAACCTTCCTTCATTTACTGACAATTACTTTTCTTTCTAGGCTGTCATTACACCAGGCAGAGAAAGATGGCCTTACTGGATCACTGATTTAGCAGGTTACGAGCACTGCTGTGCTCTAGGTGCAAACCCTTATATATTTTTTGTTATCCTGTTATATTTTCATTTTAAACTTTCTTTGGGAAGTGGGTTCACCACAGATACAGCTACATAGCTGTTTGGATTTTGCATCAGAGCACAGTTCACCAGGAAGAAGAGACTGACCAGATTTAGCTTGTTTATTTGCCTTTGTCCTTGATTTTAATTTTTACTTTTTTAGAAGCTAGGAATTTTATGATCACTCTAAGTAATTCCAATCTAATAAGGCACTGAGAGAAGCTATTAATGCAGAGAAACTAAAGTATTTTATAATACTAAACAAACAGTTTAGTAATAGTATTGTTTTCTAATAATATAATATACTAACAGTTCTTACAACCACTGCTGTTCATGATGTAGACGAGCCTTTGAAAAATAATGTCTAAACCAGACCACAAGTGATGGGACATGCCACTTCAGTGTTTAGACTAAGAATGTCTGATCTGTTCGAGAAACTGGAAAAACAGGAACGATACAGTAAAGCACTGCTTTTATTTTCCCAGATGACTATGTTAAGATATAACTGCCATACAGCCTAACTAGTTCATGCTGTCTTCAATTCTTTGGCATAAGTCATCTCTTTGTACATACTTAATTGGGCATCAGAAATATTTCTGAAAGCTATTGAAAGCTGTACTGCTGCACAGCACCACAAAGCTTCTGTGCGGGAACATCCTTTTCCCATTCTCTTATAAATGAGACTTTGGTACTCACAGTGACGGGTAAAACCAGCCTTGAAATTATTCAACAACCTGATTTAACTGCATGGGATGTGTTTCAATAGAGCTGGAAGGTCCCAGTGGAGGAAGCCTCTCCTCCCATGCTACCTGCTTAGTTCCCGTACTCAACACTCGCAGGGTGAGAGTGGCTGGTTGGGGTGGCTCTTTCCACCACAGCCTTTTAGGGCCTTCTGGTTAGTCTGACACAGGCTGGCAAGTGAACAAACAAGAAGACCCTGAACAAAAAGGATGCTCTTCCCAACCCTCTGGCTTTTGTCAATATAGCAGCACCTCAGCTGCAGCCAGGCAGGGAGTTAGACTGTGAGTTGGCCTCATGGATCTGGATCCAAGGTGGATGTCAAGGGTGGGTTGCTGTGTGGATGGGGGAAGTCTGCCCTTGGGCGAGATTGGTGTAGCCATTTGCACACACAGCTAACCCAGGCACAGGTGGAATGATGTCTGCACTCAGTCCGTCCCACACAGGACAGGAACAAGGTCCACCCTAGGGAATCCATCCCAGGTGATGACCACTGCAGTCATGACACTGCTGATTATATTATGCCATGTTTGCATTTACAGGTGACTGGGAAGAAAGCGGATGATAAAGAGACTGGCAGCTTCCTCCCTGAGGACTTCAAAAATGGGGAGTATGAAGCTGCTGTGAGATTAGAGAAGCAGGATGACCTAAAGACAGTCTCTGAGCACTCACTGACCCGAGGTGATCTGGCTTACGAGAAGGAGAAAAACCTAGAAGCAGAGGTAGGCTCTTGGGTTTTCTGCTTGGATTTTTGTGTGTGCATTTCCTGCTGCAGTCCTTGAAGTTTTGCCTCTTTCTAAGTTAGAAATACGTGCATGTGAGCTGGATAACCCTTGGAAGATCTCCACCAAAGGAGGTTGGTCTAAAGTACACTGAACACCATGGAGATCTGCTGACTTCTGTAGCCTATGGCTGCAGGCAGAAATGCTTTGAGGCAGAACCCAAACCATCCCCTATAATGTCTGACTGAAACTGTAGGGGTTCCCTCTTGCCTAGAGTCACCTGGTGCCAGCTGTCAGTAAGGGGGAGCAATCAGAGCCAGTTAGCCACCTTCAGCTTCCACATCTAATGACTGCTACCAAAAATAACTAACCCACAAAAGACATAAGAGTGCATTTCTGAAGCCAGAAGTCTTATTTACCATGAAAATGTTCTTTTTATGAAAACATGGTATTACACTTTATGCTTACTAGCACATTTGGGAAGAACAATTACAAATGAAAGTGATACGGGTCTACAGAAAAATACCATTTTCTATTCCTGGAGCATGACAATTCTCCCCATATTCCTAAGAACTGATGCTTTTTTCCCCCAAAACACATCTTGAATTCTGTGGTGAATAAGGAACGAACTGGTCTAAAAATTTAAAGTGATTTGGAAATGAAAAAGTTTAACTAGCAGGGGAAACAAGACTTTTTTCTGAAAAACGAAGAGTGGGAAACCGAGTCTCAGAAATATTAGAATAAACACTACTACTTAACCTTCAACAGAGACATCATTTCTTGCTATAGAGGCTTTTTGAGTTCCTCCAAAACTGGGTCCTAAGAACTTTCTGGGTCTCCAGTTGATCCACAGTCCACTCAGTATAATTATTTTCTATAAGGTCAATGATCTACAGATCAAACCCTAAATGGAGAGAACAATAAAAAGAAAGGGTGGAAATAGCCTGAATAAGAATTCAGTTGACAAAACTGTATTCTATATGACAGGTTATCATCAAGGTATTTACTCTTAATGACACCATGAATCTGTCATCTGTATTGACCCTGAGTTACCCCTTGTTTGTGAATTCCCCTTCTGAAGTCAAGGACACCTCATGGGATCTCAGTTCAGGCAACACATTTTCCCTTGATATTAGCAGTGCTCCATACTGACTTCATACCTGGATGCTTTTTACAAGCAGGCTTGAAGAAATCTTAAACATTTATTGAACTGCCCATCAAGGACACTGAGGACATTCTTTGTAGCTTACCAAAATAAAACACTTGCTGACTGAAATGCTAAGATCGGTCTAAACCTTGTTCTTTATTTAAGGGTATGTTTTTAAGCAAAGAGAATTAAGTTCCAATAAATTAGGGGATGCATCATAAAAGTGGTTGAAGAAAAAATGTTTGGTGGAAGTCAGCTAAAACTGCAGGAGTTTCCCAGCTCTGATAAGCTGCACATGAGATGTTTTAAATTTTTGTGCCAGAAGGGACTGCAGTGCTGCTCTGACTCCTGGCCTAAATTCACGCTCTCTAGCCCACAACATATGGCTGAAGTAGAAGCTAGGAAGAGGTCCAATGGAATATGAAAAACTATAGATGACAAAGAATTTCTCACACACTTAGTAACTTATTCCAATGGTCAATTAGCCCTCTCTGCAAATAATAATATTAAAAAAAGACAGCTTATTTCAAAGTTCATACAGTCTTAATGGAATGCAGCTGAATAGTAACACGCTGTCCTGCCACTTTGAAAAGGAAGAGGTGGTCACACTCAGCTCAACTTGCTGGCTTCCCTGATTTGTTTCAGTTGAAGAAAAAGAAATTAGAGGCAAGGACAAAACTTGAAAACTTGGAGGATCTTGAAAAAATTATTCAGCTGAAGAAGAAGAAAAAATGCAAGAAAGTGAAAGTGCCCATTTTAAAGGAACCTGAACCAGAAGTTATTGTAAGTTACTTCAAAGCACCTTATTCTGGATAAAGCAGTAGTGGGTGTTTGTGCCACACACGTTTATGCCCTCTATATTCTTTCCATCAGACAGGACCTGTGGATATACCCACGTTCTTTAAAGCTGCGCTGGAGAATAAGTTGCCAGTAATTGAAAAATACCTGTCAGACAAAGGGGATCCAAATGTCTGTGATGAGGTACAATCTTCCTTCCTAATGCAAAGCCTGCTACAGAAGAGGGGTTATAACAGAACAGACATAACTTTTACCACAAAGTTTTGTAGCTTCCACCCTTATGAGGAGGAAAAAGGGAGGGGGGGAGGAAATAAATGCTAGAATTTTTGTACATCAAGTTTTCTAGTGATTAACAGGCCACTGAGACCCTTCAAAATCATATTACTTCAAAAGAGTCTTTATATTTAAAAGAAAGTGGTTGGTGCCCAGAAAACCCTGATTTTCAGTAGTAGGTGATCTTCCAAAGCTACAGATGAGGAGGTAAGAAATTTGTCTGCAGAAAGACAGAAATAAGTGATGCTGCCTGCCCTCACATTCCATAATGCATAAGCTGCATTGACAAAATACAGTATAGCATGTTGGATGGGGAACTCAACAGGCATCATATTAAATTTGAATGCCATACTGCAGATACTTCTCACATCCTTTAAAATGCTGAGTAGGCAGCCCTCAGCTATCAGGTTGCTATTAATATTTAGCAGATTTCAGGTTTCAAAAGTATAAGCTGTTAAAAATGAATCAGCACAGAGTATGTATTTGCCATCATCCTAGGGAGAAGGGGAGAAAAGATTTTAAACATATGCTTGTGCGATACATAATGTCTGACTTTGCACTGTTTCAATTGCCAGTACAAACGCACTGCGTTGCACAGGGCATGCTCTGAAGGACATCTAGAGGTGGTGAAAAAGTTGGTGGAAGCTGGAGCCCGGCTTGAACAGAAAGACATGGTATGCACATCCACTCACACCTTTCCAAAAACTGCTTGTTGTTTTATAAGTGCCAGGAGAAGCACTTATAGAAGTGCTTCTTACAGAGAAGGAGTATTAAAAGGCCTTACAATGTCTTGTAAGTTTATCCTTAAAATAACACTTCTGAGAAGAGGTCTCACTTTTGAGGAGGGGCTGTCTGCCTTGCTTTGCCAAAATGGTTGCTGGAAAACACAGGAAGCAGAGAAACACGCTGGCCAGTCGAGTGCCACAAACAGTAAAGCCTAACTTAGGGTAAGAGAGCTGAGGTCAGGCTACCACTTCAGCCTGCTAGCAGGTGCTGGAGATACCGCTGTCCCACACATGCATCCAGGGCTCACTGTGATGTGCACATTCTCCACCAGGATTTCAAGGCAGGCTCGGGAGAGTCCCCTGCTCCTGTGGAATGCCAGCCACAAGGGTTCCTGGGTATCAACAGCTTCTGCAGCTGTTCTTTTGCTTCTCCACTCCTAGCTCTTTGTCCCTTTGCGGAACAGTTGGCACTGGCCAGCCTTGCTTCCCCAGCAGTGCTCATGTAGGCTGTGAGAAGCAGGAGGAACAACAGGAACAGTGGGACTGTCAAGGGACATTCCACTCCTTCCAGCAGAGCTCAAAGCAGAGAAATTGAATTTTGTAGAGGAAAAGGGTTCTAATTCACTTTGTGGATCTGGACAAGCTGTGGGGTTTTTGTCTGTTTTTTACAGAGAACCATTCTTTCCCTTGAGCTTAATTTTCTATGCATTTTAGAACCCAAAAGGCATTGAATAAAAAACATTAACTAGCACATACCAGCCACATACCTGGTGAAAGACAATTTTTAAGCTCACAGAATAGACAAAACACAGACAAATAGACAAATCCTCTCTCACAGCAGCGTTGCCAAGATCTCTGTCTTTAGGAGCAACATGCAGCTAGCATGAAGAGTGAGAAAATCACAGTACTGCAGAAATTAGGGCAACATAAGAAAAGCTGTTACTAGAAACAATTCAGTGATCACAGTGAAGTGCTTTAGGTTAAATTGCATAAAAATTATTTTTTATTTAGAAATTTGATCAAAATAGTTTAACTTTCTTAATATAATGATACATTAAATTCCTTTTAATTTGTTTTCCTACTGCAGCTTCAATCTACAGCTCTGCACTGGGCATGTCGGGGAGGTAGTCTGGATGTTCTGAAATTCTTACTGGACAAAGGGATAAACATAAATGCAAGAGATAAGGTATGTGCTTCTGGGACTCTGCAGCTTTTTTAATTGGACATGAAAAGCTGATCCTTACTCCTAGTAGATAATTTTTGGCAGCTGTTTTTGAAGCAGCTTTTACCTGTTCCATGCCACTGACAGCTTCCTCTCCTCCCCCCTCAGCTGCTCAGCACCCCTTTGCACGTGGCTGTGAGAACAGGGCGATACGACTGTGGGGAACATCTCATTGCCTGTGAAGCAGATCTCAACGCCAGGGACAGAGTAAGTACCAGCAACCTCTTACCTGTCAGCTACCAGGTGGCATCAAGCTGCTGACTGCCTTGATAGTTCCACTTGCCTGTAAAAATCCCTGACTGTGTAGCTGGGGCTGGACTGTGCTGCTGGACTGGCAGGACTGACGTTGTGGTCCATGTCTCGTGTCTCTAGGAAGGAGACACTCCAATGCACGACGCCGTGAGGCTGAACCGCTACAAAATGATCCGGCTTCTGATTCTGCACGGAGCAGATTTAACTCTAAAGAACTGCGTAAGTAATAGCACAAAAATGAAGCAATTCAAAATGCTTTAAAATAAGTTTCCCTTCAGAGCAGTTCCATAGGCTTCAAGGCTGGGAGAAACTACTGTGAATAGACTTAATTAGATCACTTCAGAGCTAATTAAAGCAGAGCTGCGGCAGGGAAAGTGAAACTTGGGGGAGGTCAGGGAAAAAGAGAAAAACCTAGTACCTCTTTTAAAACTAGAAAGCATCAGCTGCCACTTAAAAAGCATCACATCTTTCTAAGATTTATTTTAATTACTCATATCATACATTGAAAAGATACAATGGACAGACACTTACTCTGCACAACTCCTGGGCTTCGACCACCACTGAGACAACAAAGATCTTGGCTTGTCAAGAGAAATCTCCTTTCTGTTACGCCCACAGCTGATAGCCAGCCCCAGCACTACATCTGGATGACTGGCTGTTAACCTTACCACTGGGCAACAAATCCCTGTGGCTCAGGGGAGCTTCAAGAAGTCCCACACCTGACTCAGCTCACAGCTGCAGCAGCAGCAGTGTTGCTGGAGCTCTGTGACTACTTGTTAAAATATAGCACATCATAAACCATTTCTCCCAAATCCAAATCTAGCAGCAGTAGCATGGGGTTTGACATTGCCAGTCAATGTTTTTAAATGACAATCAATCAAAACTTCAGGGTACAAGGAAGAAAACAGTCACTGGAGCACTCTGCACTCCCTACTCTCTACCCACCTCCCTGAAGCAGGGTAGCTCCTGGCATTATCCCTCATCAGGGTATGACAATGATAGAAGATAAAGCCCTAAAGGCCAGAGACTTGCTTTCTCAGACTTTGTCTGCACACAAAAATTGGTCTTATTTAATTCCTGTGGTTCATACCCTAATTAACCAGTACAAATTCTTATCTGAATTCTGAATTAAGGAGAAAAGCATCTTATTGAGGTTTCACCTAAATATATTTCTAATCAGTTGAAACTAGAAGAAAAGTAACACCTGCATGTTCTGCTAATCACAGTATTTGCCAATATGGTTAGACTCACTGAAACGTTTTGCTCTGTAGAGCAAAAGTACTCTGACCTTAGGGAGCGAGACTAAGTCTTGAGCCTGTGTGTGCAGAGAGGTCTCACATCAGGAGATGCAGTGATGTATCTAGGAAAGAACAAGGACTCGGCAACCACTGGATGAAATTAAATCATGCTTCCTCTGCTTTTTTAACCAGCAAGGGAAAACCCCCATGGATCTTGTTCTTCAGTGGCAGAATGGCACCAAAGAGATATTCAACAGCCTGAAAAACAATTCCAAAAAGAGTGTCCATCCAGGCAAATACTGAAGAGAGAAACCAGACCACTCTCTTTTTGCTGCTTTGAAATGCTTCACTCGAACCTGGATGAAGATGCCCTTGAACACAGTATTTTTATTGAAAATATTTATGGCACTGGATTATTTGAGGTATCTTCACCGAAAACTGCAAAAAAACCCCCGCAAAGTAATTATTTTAAAAGACAGATTGAGTGTTAAAATTCCACTGGCTCTAAAATGGCTTTATTTATTTCTATTTATTATTTATTTATTTAAAAGCAATTTTTAATGATTCTTAATATTATTTAAGCTTTTTTTTTAATAGGGCTTTACATCCTAATGCAATCTTTGTCAGCAACATAAATCCTTTTATCTTAAATGGCAGTATTTCCAACCACATTAGCAACTTTCCTCAAGCCTTCCAACAGCTCTAAATAGCAAATACTTGCAATTGTTGCCTTGTCTCTGCTGAATTCTCACTATTAAAATAATCTGTGAAATGAGCGGTGATATGTGGAAGGGCAATGAAAGAAGGAACACTGAGATGCCAAGTGGATTTAAAGAAGTAGTTGAGTAATGGTGTTTACACAGGGTTTGGCAATCGTGGTTGATAAAGAGCTCGAGGACAGAGCTCCAACCATCATGTAATCATTTGGACTGGAGGATTCAGATGCCATGTTGTGAAGGTGAGAGGAGGCAGTATCAGAAATGTGAATTTTTTTTTAAGCTAGACTACTACAAAGTATGATGACTGAAGAATGCAAAATCAGATTATGTATATTTGTAAATTTGTACTGCTTTTTCTGTACATTTTGAACTGATCCATTTCAGATTAAATAAACAGAGTGGTTTCTTTTTATTTGCTTGAGTGGATGATGGAGCGGTGAACATGCATGGGGTTATTTTTTCTCTCTTTAAAGGAAGTTCACATCTTAGCCTCTGTAAAATTCTTAAAAACTTAGGGAAGAAGTCTGAGCTGCCAAGAGCAGCCAGCCCTCAAGCCACCTCCCTGCCACTGTTAGATAAATCCCATCTCTTACTTATTTTGTTTAATGGAGGCAGATATGAAAGCAAAAAGACAGTACTTGAGTAAACAGTAAAACAAAGTTACAGTTTTATTACTGGGTTTGATTAAAAAAAAATCTCATTCTCAACAAGTCAGTACTTACTATTTGGGGCACAAGACAACTCCAGTTACTCAAGCCAAGGGAGATGCCAAGTCCTGTTAGGAAAAGCAGACACTTCTCTCTTTGCTTTAGCAGAAGCAGGACAACCTTCACAATGCTGCCAGCCAGGGCATCATGTCTCATTTCATAGACTGATAGAACAATTTGGGCTGGAAGGGATCTTTAAACATCATCTAGTCCAACCCCCTGCAAAGAGCAGGGACATCTTCAACTAGATCAAATTGCTCAGAGCCCTGTTCAGCCTGACCTTGAATGTTTCCAGGGATGGGACATCTACCACCTCTCTGGGCAACCTGTGGCATGTTTAACCACCGTCATTGTAAAAAACTTATTCCTTACATCCAATCTAAATCAACCCTCTTTTACTTTAAAACCATTACCCCTTGTCCTATCACAATAGGCCTTGATAAAAATTCTGGTAAGATCTTTCTTATAAGTCCCCTTTCAGTACTGAAAGGCCCCAGTAAGGTGTTCCCGGAGCCTTCTCTACTTCAGGCTGAACTCAGCTCTCCCAGCACTTCCTCATAGGAGAAACGCTCCAGCCCTCTGATCATCTTTGTAGCCCTCTCTGGACCCACTCCAAAGGTCCATGTTCTTCCTGTGCTGAAGACTCCTGAGCAGGACACAGAACTGCAGGTGGGAGAGAACAGAGCAGAGAGGCATTCCATGCTCTGTATTCACGCACCAAACACATTTTGCTTCTTCTCTGGTTAGAGCATAATCATATATATATATATATATGTTACTCCCCAATACCTATAACAAAATGGTCAACAAATAAAGTAGTCAGAAGTCACAAAGTCAACAAATAAAATAATAACATAAAGGAAAAACATCTCATTATTTGTTGAATGAAGCAAAAGCTGTTGTGACTTACATCAGTATTATACAGAACTGTTAAGTCTACTGAGAACTTCCTCTATTCTGCTCAGTCCAGTTACCAAGAGCTCAGAGATGACCCAGTATTCTATGTGTTACAACTTCCACATGTTGTCAGGTGCAAACAGAGAACCGGAATATTTGCAGTAAAGTTCACTCAAGTATTTTGAGTACAGTAGCTTACGTAATTTTTATATTAGTTTAATCACAAGAAAAACTTCAGTCAACATTTGGAAGAGCTCTGAAAATGCTCTGCTGATCATAAATCTATTATGATTGGTTTCTTGGCAGCCAGATCAGGTTTGCTGAGGCACTGAAGGAAGGAAAGGCAAGAGGCAGCAAAATGAACACGTGCACAGACAACAATTCCAGAACAGGCCATAAAGAAGGAAATGATGCAGTAAAGATGATGTGACGTGGAGACTGCTCAGGCCTAGGTGACACAGCTGTTACACTGCAACTGAAACACCCCATGCTGAGCACACATTCAGTGTAACCTTGGGCTCTTCCTTCCCATCTCCGGTAACCATCTAATGTTACTGCTTGGTTTTAAGTGCTGCAGGACACAGATGGCCTTCGGGATTTAAATCTGGCAGGTCAGCTCAGTCACTCCTACTGTAACACAAATCCAAGATATCTCCTAGCAATTGACAGATCCTGGGATCTTCACTGTAGCCATTGATCACAAAATGGAATGGGAAGCAGATTTTTTTTTTACTGCACTATTATCTCTTCACAGGCCATTGAAGGTAAACTTCATCTACTGGTTTGCAGTTGTACAAAGACGTATTTAAAACTTAAGAAACCCTAAGAGCTAGACTATGAAGGCATGTGTTCTTAGAAACACTTTTAATAAAAAAGGAATGCACATGTACAAGTGAAAATTTCCATGTTAGAAATGTTCCATTGACTTTGCACTAATTCCAGGAGACCTAAGGCCAGGTGAAGAGTCAGTCTCCTGGCCAGAAGCCCAGCATGACCTTTCAGATGTGGTGAACTAACATTCACCACATGTGGTGAGCAGTCTCATTCACACAGCTTTCCTCACTTGAACACCAGAGGAATAATTCTTCTCCAGGCTAAACAAAACAGTAAGGGAGGACTTGGGCTGGAGGGTGGAGGAAGACTCAACACTAGGTAAAGAAGAGGCTCCTGTTGACAGTTGTTTCAGTCCTCAAGCTTGAGTCTTAGCTTTTTTGCAGGCTGGCACTGTTGTTTCCTCCTCCTCAACCTTGCGAGGCTTCTTCACTGTGTACACCACCCCACAGGCAGTCTTCCGAGTTTCTGGAATATACAAGCAGAAGCTGCAGTACCTCAAATAAAATGACACTAATGCATTTAAGGCATGCTCAGTTCAGATGTCCATACCCCAAAGCACAGTTCAACATGTTGAACAGCCAGCCAGTCAGCATACACAGCATGCAAGCAACTGGGGGCAGGAGCTGGGGATTCACTGCATTATAGAATAGGGAAACTATGGGGGGATATACAATCGTGGATGTAGATTTACAGCAAACAAGGAAAAACTGAGGTCTGCAGGGACTGAAGGGCTGCAGAGACACAAACCCATAGGAAACGAGGCTTAATCAGTTCAGTAGTCACAGAAGGACACATTCTTGAAGCATTGTCAAAAGCATTTCTGAGCCAAAAATACCGTTCTCAAAAAAATATTAAAAAAATGCATTCACATACTCCAGGACTCCTAAACAGACTATACTGGCACAGCTATATTGGCAGAGGATCCCCTACATACCCAATAAGTGGCTTTATGGTATTCAAGAATTTTATTTACCAAACCCTCAACATTACCATAAACTACTAGTGTGATGTTTGCCAAAGAACCTGGTGAAGCCCAATCCAACTTCATAATGACTGGTGGGAGGCTTCTCTGCAAAATTTGAAGGTAGAAGAAATTCCCTACAAATAGTTTGTTAGCAAAGAGGCTCTGAAAGAACCTTGCCAAAATATATTGATTTATTCTGGGCTAGAATTCTTTAGGGGACAGGGAAACAACATCTGCTATTTAATTTCACAGATAAGATAGACAGATAAGATAGATGAGGGTCTTGAGAAATTCTACATAAACTTGACAAAAATTCTTTCAACACACTCTATGCCTCTATGTAGATGAGCAGCAAGCTGGAGGAGGACCCTGCTCACAGGAATGCCCTCCCCAAGAGATCAAAGCTACCTGATGCAAATTACAGCAGGTTCAAGCCCCACTTCTACTGAAAAAAAGAGATGCGACCCAAATCCTACTGCGCATTTGCACCTTAGAGCAACTCAAGTTGTTGGGAAGGTGACTAGAAGTCACACCTACCCAACAAACCTTGACAGAGGCCGAAATTAAGAGATGACTACTCGGAAAGTTAAACTGCCATCAGAATAAACAACAAAAATCAAGAAACTAAGAACCTGTTCTGAAACAGGGGACAGTTTCACTATGAAGCACAGCAGGCAGGTCCCTATTTTGGCTAAACCATTTATGACTCGTTAATGTGGTTAAGCGAGTGCTCCAGCACAGACAGCACCACCAGTTCCCCTACTGATTTGCTAACATGGTTACATGGGAAAAAAAACCACAATCTTGCCACACAAGCTCCTCTTCATTCACTGGACAAGGGAGCTAAAACCCTAATCTGACTTGCTTTGTAAGGTCTCAGACCCTTTGGAAAATATGCATTAAGAGGAATTTATTTTAGCAAATGCACATGTTACTTAGAGGAGCTTACAAGTGCTCACCTCCATGAAGCATGGTGGCTCTGCAGTTGGTAGACACCGCTGCCTTTGCTTCGCTTTCCGACAGGCCAAACAGCAAACCTCTGTCAGCATTGCTCAGGATCAAAATGCACAGAAAGGAGCAAACAGAATAGGGAAGTCTCTCAGCACATAGGTTTGCTTACTCTACAAATAACTGGGAATTAGCAAAGCTGTAATTCAAAGTGACATTTTGCATAAGGTTACCCAGAGGCAGGGAACTGAGGCACCCAATTCTCCAGGCTGCAGTTCCCCAGCAGCCCTCCTGGAAACGTTGCTTTTTACCAGGCAAGAAACTGTACTTTTGAAAAGAAAAGTCTGTCAATGCAGGAACATTTTAGATATGAATAATCAAGCAAAAAAATCACCCAATGGAAAATTTTAGTTTTGGGGAAAGGACACTGTCTGATACA